GCTGTGAGGATCACTAATGACCATCGGACATACTCTGAATTACATTGAAGAGGAGAAGCAGGGTCTGAGCTTCCTGGCTGAGAAATCACAGCTTCACATTTCTAATACTTTCTAATGACCTAAACTTGCCTTTCTCAATTGAGAACTCATATGGAGGCAGACTTCGCTACCACTATTGTTCCCTGGATGCAACTGGCATACAGCCAGTCTTCAGGTTCAGGAGAACTGGTTGCAGATGGCATAGGGAAATGGATCCAAGACTGTGGGCCACTATCGGGACATGCACAGGACTCTGAATATTAGCAACTGGATCTCAGAAAAAGTCAATTATTTGTGGTCTGACTTCAAGTAGCAATCCACATTGCTCCCAGGGGTACCAATGAAGGTTTGCACCTGGTAGGGGAGCGTTACCAGTGCATGACTGATAATAGATATTCCACAATCAGGACTGCAGAGCCATCCGTCTCGCCTTCCTTAATTCTGTTCTTACTGAGGAGAAACTGACTAGCATGATATGAGTGTCTCATCACTCTGACTAGTTCCTCCCAATGACCACCAGTAAGCACACAGATCCTACCAACACACATTGTTGAGGGTTATTCCATAAATGCCCCAAGGCTTACCGGCACATGTCAGTATATCCAAGAGCATTCTGAGCCACAGAATGGCAAGGAATTAGCCAAGAGGAAATCCACAGCCTTGGCTTCCTTCCAGAGGCTTGCAGAAGAAAAACCCAGAGAGATGGGTAAGACACAGACCCAGAATATCTGGAGTGGAAACTGTGCTCAGGACAGGAACGGTCTATCACAGGAGAATCTGGAGTTGCCAAAAGCAAGTTCACTATAGCACACTATTTTGCCTTAGGCTGAATGGACCTTTGCAGCAGCCCCTCTGAGTGTCATAGTGTCCTTGATACATCCTTCTGTTCTACTTGTTGATAAGTTGATCCTTTCTCTATCCTGTGGTATGCAGAATCCTAATCTTGTCATTGACTGCATGAAAAACGGAACATTTTCCCACCTGTGGAGTCAGCTGTCCTACCCTTAACAGAGTCTAATCATGGTCAAAACTCTTCCATGTCTCCTTCATCTCCCATCTACAACATGGTGTCACATAGGCAAAACTGGAGCTATTTTCTTCCTTCTTCCAATAGGATGGTTACAGACATGTTGATAACTCTCTGCTTACCTGGTGTCATTTTATAGCCACAAAAATAATAATACAACTTAATAACTAGTTATCTGGAGCAAAAGCTATACCTACAATAACCAGTTCAAAACTGAAACAATCAAAACCCAGCAACTCATTTGATTAGAGCAAAGTTCCAGTGAGGTTCTTGGAAGGGAGTCAACATCTGTTGGAATCTGAGTGGCTCCAACATACCTATTTCCACTACTGGCTAAATATCTCAAACACCTCCAACTCATGTAATAAATGTATATATCTAGAGATAGAATCTCCAGTGCATTTGTGAGACAGAGAGGAGACAGACCTAAGTCCAAGTTCAGGGGTGGGAGTTATTTGTTAGCTTGTTTAGTAGATTTCATTTGCAAGGCCTGTTGGGATATTTTAAAGGTATGCAATCCTAGTGATACAGCCAAATGGTGATTCTAGGAAAACCCTTGTGGGGAGCGAATATTAAATGGCTATGCCATGGGAAGTGCCCCAAAGCTGCTGGGGAATCACGAATATTCCAGTAGCAAGTTTTCCCTCCTGGTCTTCCTCTCCTGAACCCAAGTAAAAGCTCAGAGAGAAAAACTTGAGCCCTCGCCTTGTTCACCTCTAAGTGCCTGTCTTCCTTTCATTAGATCCTTCTGAGCCACTGTTGAGTACCTCGGCTCCTGCAAACTACTATTTCCTGGGAGGAGGGCCCCCTAAGAAGCTAGCTCCTATAGCATAGCTTGATTCAATCCACCTCCCTCAACAGATACTGTGCTTGCTTGGCTCTGAGAAGGAAAAGGAAATGTTTCACTTGGAGACATCAGTACAAAGCTGGCTATAGTGCATACCGTTGCTGTGTACTGGGTCTCCTGCACATTTCAGGCCCTGGCAGGGAGTCTGTCATCTGTTTATACAGACCCTGCTCAAGCATATTATCTTTGTTTCCCCTATCTTTCCTTTTTTTGTCTTTCCTTTCTCATTTTGGGAAGGGGTGGATAGGGTCTCATGTATGACAAATGGGCCTCAAACTTTCTGTAGCAGAGGCTGGCCTTGAACTTCTCTGATCTTCCTGCCTCTACCTCCCAAGTGCTGGGATAACAGGCGTGCAACACCGTGCCACAGTTATGCAATGTTGGGGATCAAAACCAGGGCTCTGTACCTTCGAGGCAAGTATTCTGTCCACAGAGCTACAGTCCCTGACTTACTTGTAAAATAAGCTGCTCCTTCAGCTCAAGCCTAGATTTATCCATCTGAGGCCACAGAGTCTCCTTTTCCATCCCAAATACATCAGGCTGCAACAGATCCTGCCATGGAAAACAAACCCCTAGGGGTTTAAAAGAAGAATCTAATAAGACCTGGCTCTGAGTCCCAGAGAGGACCAGCTTATTGCTCATTTGGGCGTGGTGACATCATCTCCCACCAGCAAGACCATCATCACCCTTTTTGTCTAAGCATTAACCATTCATTCTCAACTTCTCTGTCATCTGATGTTATAGTGAGTCACATAGAAAAAGCCCTGTAAACTTCCACAGCATCTGCCCAAGGCCATAGAGAGGGCACAGCAATGAGGGGAGAGATCTGAAGATATTCCTTTAAAACAGTTGCCAAGGACACTTTATACAGAGATCAGCAGGGTTCCCAGAGACTAGGCCCACAGGGTATCAATACGTGTGGCCAAAAGGTTAACTTCACACTATAGTGTGTTTCAGGTTTCCCCCATGATCAGTACCTTACCCCAAGAAAACTGTTTCCCTAATAGAACCCTAATGAAGTTTAATACAGATCTTCTAATTTTGTAAATGCTCCATGTCTTCTCACCACCAGGGGAATAGGAAGTGACATTGAGAAAAAAGCAGGAAGTGGGTTTTAGCCCAAACCACCTCACCATCCACCCCAGATGAAGTGCTATTCCAAATGCCGTGGAAGGCCACTTTGGACCTGCAGATCGGCCGTTCCATAGCTGAAATGAGTAAGCTGGGTTTCTAAGTCTGACTACTTGTAACAGCTGAAGAGAGCTAGGTAAATGAACAGTTTCGCCAGTGAATGGCAAATGACCTTGTATACCAACATACTCAATAATTAAGCACATGACTACCTCTATCTTGGTTATACTCTCCCTGTTGGCCATGCTTAAAATATGCACACAAATTCAAAAACAACACTGGGCACATATATCAAGAATATGCTGAAAGCCGGATGTGGTGGTGCATGCACCTGTAATTCCAGTGCTTAAAAGGCAGAGAGAGGCAAGAAGAATCTAAGTTTGAGGCTAGCCTGAGTTACAGAGCCTACATCTCAAAAAGGATTTACTATTTTGAGAAAATGCTCCATGGAGTAAAAATTCCTTCATCGAGGAACTACATGGAATACATTTTGAAAATACAGCTTAGAATAGATTTAGAAAATTGTGACAGCTTAAAAAAATGCAAGGTGATTTCCTTGAATCCAAATTTTCCCTTCTCCTTATATCCCTGTCTCCTGGTTCTTTTCACCTCTGTCTTTTTTTTTTTTTTTTCTCTCGAGACAGGGTTTCTCTGTGTAGCTTTGCGCCTTTCCTGGATCTCACTCTGTAGACCAGGCTGGCCTCGAACTCACAGAGATCCGCCTGGCT